GTGTCTGTCCTGATGTGTGTATGTGTGCATTATACATGATATGTATGTGTACATCAATGTCCATGTGTGTGTATGTGTACACTGTCCTGCTGTATCTGTCCCAATGTGTGTATGTGTGCGTTATACATGATATGTATGTGTGCATCAATGTCTATGTGTGTGTATGTGTACCCTGCTCTGCCATGTGTGTCCTGGCAGATGGTGCTGGGATATAAAAGAAACCACAGGGACGCAAACAGGAGCAAGGCCCAAGCCCCAGAACTGGGCACACCTGGGCTCATACCCAAGCTTCATTGTTCACCGGCTGGACCTCAGTTTCCAGCTTGATCTGAAAAATAGGGGAAACAGACCAGGCCTCACAAGGGGGTTGTGCTGACTAGAATTAGTCATGTGCCCACAGAGGCTCCCATAATCATGGTGTTGTTACTGTAGGTCAAGGCCAGCGTCCTGTCTCTCCCAGAACAGCCACTTTCCAGCCTCCGATCGCCCTCCATGGTTTCTTGCACTTGGAATGCCCCTCACCCTCATGTTCACCTGTTCCATCAGCACACCTGCAGGCTGGCTTGTCTGAAAGCCCACAAAGCCTGATTCCACCCTGGAGACAGGCTCTGTCCCACTCTGGGCCACAGCCCCTCTGTCTGAGCCCTGGGGGCACTTGCCTCTCTCCACAGAACAACCAGGTGCTCATTTCTGTGGCTGCAGCATGGGCCTCCCTGAAGGTCTCCACATGACACCACCATTGCAGCCCTCAGGAAACTGCCATAATCAACTTTCCAAGGAAGAAGAGCAGCTCACAGCCAAAAACCAACTAAGTATAACCTCAACAGAAAGACCTTCTGGAATGGCAGTGAGAGGAGCTCGTCCCAAAGGGAACATCAAATAGACACCATTATTCAAGAAAATCTACTCCATCTCATAAGAACAGTGAGAGTCTGTGACATTTGAGCCACGACCTGCTGCCATCCCCCCACCTCCAGTCATGGAGCGCTACTCCAGGTGGATGCAACCTCAAGAGGGGGTGGTCCTCTCTGCCCCAGCTCCCAGTCTAGGGCCACATTTCACCTGGAGGGACAGGCCTCCAGCATTTCTCATTCCCCAAGCTCTGGGTTGCAGGAGCTCTACAACTGGGGAGGCAGGAGAAGTGGGGCTCCTTTCCCTACCCAGCCCCACTTCCAGGTGGATCCTCTACCTCAGACCAAGAATTCTGGGGCCCCGATCACCCCACCCCAGCTCACTGATAGGGCAGAGGCTCCACGCTGGGAGAAGCAAGCCAAGAACACCAGGAATTACAATCCGACAGAGCCCACTCATAGGGTGGGGGGGTCACTCTGCTGGAAGTAGGCCACTGTCCCACCCCCAGGTCCACTACAGCGGCACAGGGTTCCTGCCGGTGGAGAGGTGGGCCATCAGGACAAACAAATATCTCCACAGCTCTGGCAGAGGAGACTGGCTTTACTTGGAACAGAGCAGGATAGACCAAGCAGAGGTTGAACAGAGAGAGCCAGGAAAAGAGACAACCAAGAAGATCCCTCTTGGGGTCACATTTGTCCCTGGAGGTCCTGAGGGCTGTGTGCAGACACCAGCCTGCATTCACTCAGAAGCACTCAGAGCAGGGCATGAGGAAGAGGCGAAAGCACTCCCCATGCCAAACTCAGCTCCACCAGCAAAGGGGGGAAGGCTGCCTAGCTCTGGGCGCTTCAGCACAACTTGTGCATGAGCACTGACTGAGCCAGGTCTACTCTGATCCAGGGCAGAATCCTAGGAAGCCTGGCACAAAAATAAAGTGACAATTATCCCAGGCCTGTGAGACTGTGCATATGCCCAAGGCTGTGCCCCTCGAGTGGCTGAAGAGGGAACTTCCAAGCTACCAGTCCCTGGCAAAACTTGGAGCAAAATGGTAAACTCCCTGAACTATGAAATCAGTCTCCAAACTATACATATAACTAACTATAACAGGTGACATCTAACTGGCCAAGGGGAGAGTGGAGCACAACCTTTAACCACGAAGTGGTGTGTGCCAACCTAGGAGTCAAACTAAAAGACTTTTTTTTAAGGGAAAAAAATCTGAGCCAGGATCTCATAAACTTCACATTGTGGGAGAAACAGACTTACAGATTTAGACACTTAACAAACAAACAAACAAACAAAACAATGACAAGTACCACAGAGAACCAGTGCCCAGGGTTTCTACAATATCTTATCTAAAATGTCCAGTTTCAACAAAAAAAAATTATGAGACATGGAAAGAAACAGGAAAGTGTGACCCATATAAGGGGACAAAAGCTGCCTTTGAGGAGGTCCAAATGATGGCCTTCACAGTAAACAACTTCAGAGTACTTAATATAAATATGTTCAAAAACCAAGAGAAACCACATCTAAAGAGGTAAAGGAAGGTATGATGACAATGTCTAATCAAATAAAGAACATCAATAAACAGATACAAATTATTAAAAAAAGAACCAAATGGAAATTCTGGAATTGAAAAGTACAATAATTGAAATTAAAAATTCACTAGAGGAACCCAAGAGTAGATTTGAGTTGGCAGAAGAAAAAATCAGCAAGCTTGAAGATATATCAATAGAGATTATGTGATAGGAAGAACAGAAAGAAAAAAAGAATAAAGAAAAATTAACAACAGAACCTCAGAAATGTGTAGGACATCATTAAATGTGCCAACGTACATGTAATGAGAGTACCAGAAAGAGAGGAGAGAGAAAAAGGAGCAGAAAAAATAACCAAAAAATAATAATAATGGCTGAAAACACCCCTAATTTGATGAAAAACTTTAATCTACACCTCCAAGAAGCTCTATAAACCCAAGAAGGATAAACAGAAAGAGACCCACACCGACATGCACCATCCTAAAAATGTTGAAAGACCAAAAAAACCTTGAAAACAGCAAGAGAAAAAAGATTCATATGAGGAGACCCCAATGTGATTGAGAGCTGACTTCTCATAAGAAACAATGGAGGCCAGAAGGAGTGGGATGATATACTCAAAGTGCTGGAAAAAACTATCGTCAATCAACAATCTTCTATCCAGCAAAATTATCTTTCAAAAATGAAGGTGAAATAAATATATTCCCAGATAAACAAAGCAATACCATTGCTAGCAGACCAACCTTATAAGAAATAGTAAAGGGAGTTCTTTGGGTTGATAGGAAGTGACACCAGACAGTAATTTGAATGCACGTGAAAAAAACAGAG